AAAAAAAGTCAAAATAAAACCAAACACACCACACACAAAAGAAAACAAAAAAACAACACAGACCAAAAAGCCACTAGACTGTGCCAAAGGGAATAGGAACTTCCAACCACCTCCCAGTGTGATCCAACATACTCCCATCTCTTAGGTTTCTTTGAGAAGACTTTGACTCGGTCCTACAAAAATACTTCTAAAAAACTGCAGCTGAAGAGTTCTGAAAATTATTGAGTAATAAGCAAATTGAACTGCGTATTTATAAGTTAATGTGACACTAATTAGAGCCCTTAGGCAACAGGGACCAGAAAGAGACAATCAAAATCACATCCCTCTTTTGCTTTATATTTAAAAATGTCCTCTTGGCCCTGCATATGAATGCAGTTGGTTAATTTACCCATAAGAATTTCCACTTTGCAGGGGAGGGGGGACCTGCAATTACAGAGTAATCTACTGCAAGGATGCACATAGCATTTTCTTTCTTTAGCCCTTTTATGATGCAAGAAGTTCAGTCTCAAGAAAAGACATCAGAAATTCTCCATAAACCACATCAGGAATAACTATAAAGATCTGATGAAAGGTCTTGAGTGTTCTTGAATCCATCCTACATTCCTTTTCCCCATCTTCCCATAGGACTGGGCAGTTCAGTGTATATGCTCAAACCATTTCAGAGGAGCTGAAAAGCGAGACATTTTTTGGCACAGATTCCCCCTCCCCAGTGATTTCTCAGGGAGTGCTTTTCACTGTTTTCTACTGAGAAAAGACTATTAAAGCTGAGAAATTGGACTTCAGAGGCTTTAAACTTTACCACTAGCTCAGGAATTGTAACTTTGCTCACCTTTCCCCTCACTTCTCCCCAAACTCTTTCCCTGTACCACAGTGAAGCAAAGAAAATAATATGCAAGCACAACACTTAAAATATATTTTTTTAATAATTTTTCTTCTAGCTACTTAAGACATCTGAGCTCTTGGGACTTATTTGTTGAGGTTATAATAAGGTTTTTACAATAGCTTACAAGCTGATTACAAGTTTGACATGGGAACATTCAATTCCATGCTAGTAGCCTGGAGAGATCTGCCTAAATTTTCAGAAATGCTCTGCTGATAAACAAGTTTGAAGGTTTTTTTATGTCTTCAAGCAAATCAGTTTAAAACTGGGATTTGGCTGAGAAGAAACTCTTCAGGGTGGGAAATAGTCATGATTCAGAATTCTTCCTGACTTGCCCTTCTTTTTCACCATTATTCATGGATGAAAAAGAATCCAGACAATTTTTTTTCACATTGCATTCTGGAATTAAACAGGGAGGCCATGTGCCAGCTGCTTTTCACAGCAGGGCCTCCTGCCCCAAGGATCCATACAGCTGGGGCACTCCTTAACATGGTCCAATACACAAGTCTCATACACCACATTTCTGGTAATTTGGGATGCCTGCCATCAACACACAGCCCCAAAAGATCTGCCTGCATGACCAGCTCCAGTTGGCCAAGGTGGGTTCCTGACCAGCCACAGGAAAAACCTGGACCTTATTTAAAAATTCTTTGCCAAAAGATTGACGTAAACACTCCCCACCATCAATCTGAAACAGGCCCCAAGCTGCTGCCAAAGCTTGCCCAGTTCATCTAGGTCTAAAAACAAGGAATCAAAGGTGGCCAGAAAAGATACTACACTTCATTCCTGATGTACCATTTGTTACAGAAACCATAACTCCACAGCTCTGAAGCTCAGAAAGAGTCCTTGATCCATACTGGAGATAAGTTCACTTTCCAAACTTGCCTTCTGACTGTCAGTAAAAACAGGCCACAGAACTTAAGAGCTTGCACTGCAACATAATCATGGTTTTAATGAGGTTCTAAGCTGGACAGGTAAAGTACTGCAGGGTTGCAATTTTTACTCAAAATATGCAAATCTTTAACTGCACATTCCCAGAGTATCACTTTTTTTTTTAATTTTAAAGGAAGGGTCCTCTTTTGGAATTGTGCTTATCTTTATGCATTTTATATGATAAACTCACAAGACCAAAGAACTCTCCTCTTCTTTCTGCATCTAATATGCAGACAAGAGCAAGTGCCTTTAGAAGAGGCAGTAGAAGATGTTGTCCTGGCTCCACATCACATCTAGGTTCAAACACTGGTGGAAAGGACACAACAGTCCTTGAGTGGAAAGGTGCTGCAGGAGGAACTGCAAGAAGCATTTTAACTCTTTATTCTACCCAGTGTTGAAATATTTGCCATGATTATAGTTACACATCTTGTGACTCCTACAATGTGGAGTTTGTTGGAACACTTCTTTCCCCAAAAGCCTTTCCTGTTCCCATGATTAGGTACACAAATAACATTCACAGTGTAAAGTCTGTTTTCAGTTGCTTGTAGCTCTCAAAAAATTCCCCTTAGGGGCTGACATGTTCTACACTTGATCCCAGACCAGAGGCAAGTTTTTTTCCCCACCTCCAAGCAACCAGGTTAGGAACATGTTTTTGGCTACCCTTCAGCAGTGGGAAAGTGAGAAAAAAATATGGTTCAGTGGCATAAAACTCTTCCTTTCATGAGAGTAATAGACGGTCTCAGGGAACAGAAGGAAAGGGTGGCAGGGTAGAAAAAACAAAACATGAGGTGCAAGTACTACACAGAGAGACTGAGGGAATAGCAAGGTTGACCCAGTTGTAACCAACTAAATAACTACCTAGACAATATAAAACAACTGTACAAAATTGGACTTTACAGCTCCAAAGAAAAAAAATAAATTTCTGGGCTTAGTTGGATTCAGGCTGCAAGAGCCAGCTCTTTTAGATAATGCTTTATTGGGAAGCAGTCAAAGAGATCTTTGTGTATATATCCATATAAAATTTGGTATCTCTGATCTCTGTCATAATGTTACCAGAAAAGAAGTGTGACTAAGAAAGCTTGAATGCTACTTCAGTATGGCTATCCAGCCCTCTCAGCCTCAAGTCTCTTAGGGTTATTTTCTTTTCACAGGTCATCTTTTATTTCATGCCCATCATACGTGGCTATTTTAAGGGGCTACAGAGAGGTGCTGAATGCTGATAAGGCAAATCCTGTATCCCTTAATCCACTGCTAAATCATTCTGCCAGCCTTCAAGTGTACCAGACAGATGGAGTGCACTAGGAAACTGCCCACAGGCTGGTTACTTCAACCCCAGCTCATCTTTAATCCAGAAAGGTTTTGTTCTGGTATTTTAATCACTGATTGACTGGGAACTCTCTTCCATGCTGGGTTAGGTAAAATATCCATGTCAGAGGTACTGGGGAATTCATGAGGCTGTAGATCATACGAGTGGTGTGAGACAGGATGCGTCTCAAGGGAACCAAGGAAGCCATGAGGAATGTAAAAAGTCACAGGGTTAAAGCCACATTAAGACAGCTGTTATGTTAATGAGAGTTCTGCTTTTCTTCTAGCTGTGGGTCATTGATTTAGAAAAACATGAACAAGGTCTTTTTCATTTTATCGTATTTTTCCACTGAAGCTAACATAGACCAAAACATCATCTCCTAGATCCCATTCATCTTGCTAACAACACTTGTGAAGCAAGTTATCTTTGTTATGTTTGTGTGCAAATGATTCCTGAGGCTTGATTTGGTCTTACCTGGCCCAAATCTATCTGTGGAGCTGTTTTGCAAGGATTTCACTTAGTAAACATGTTAAGAAAGGAGTCATGCACAACTGAGTTTGCCTTCCAGACAAATTCATCCACGCATCTGATTTTCTCCTACAGTCATAAGTCATAACAAACACTTACAAGAAATGTGGCATGAAGTCTTCTGCAAAAACATTTAGTAGGTAAAATGTCTGAGCCTTTCAAGACAGATGCTCAATAATACAGCCATGCTGCAATAGGCATGATTGTCCTAAACATTAGAGAAGGGTGGTTTTGTATTGCTTATTTCAGTTTGCACAGCCTGAATGCCTCAGGCTGAGTTTTAAAGGTCAAAACATAATAGAGTTTCACCAAAGAAACCAAATTCACCTGTATCCTTGGTCAGACCACAAGTCACCACTCATTTCTCTTCCTTTGTTAGATCACAAGCTTCAATATTTTGCTTGTCACCCAACCACACATTTGCTTAGTAACACTTGCAACTCAGACCGATTTAAATGAGGTGTATTTTTCCCAGCAATTCGTAGATGTCAAGTGGAAAAAGAGCAGCTAAAGATTCTGCCTGCAGTATTAAACTTTTCACAGCATGTGTTTCTTTGCTATTAAACAGGATAAGTCCTAATCAAAACTTGAATTCTGGGGTCCAGTTTATTCCAGGGTAATTTGGCTGCTATTTTCCTGGGTTTAGACAGATAAAAATCCAGGTTCAAGCTTTTTTTTTTAAAAAAATTAATCTACTCCAAGGTACTGCTCTGGTACACTAGCTTGTTTTAGACAACCCAGATCTACATGAGGCTGTGAAGACTTAGAAGTTATTTGAGCACTTATTTTCTTTTGAATTAAACTGAGAGTGGGGATAAAAGAGATATTACAGAGTTTATACCAAGTCAACTTCAAAATCTAACCTAAAAGTGAACTGTAGATACTGCACCAGCCACCTTGCTCACTTGCATGGCTCTGTAGACACACTGTCCTATAAAAAATGTTTTTCTCTCAATTTTTAATGCCTGGAAGACCCAGACAACAACAGATGAAATCAGTTAAGTAACCATAAACTGGGCCAACAGCTGACCTGATTACATGCAGAGTGCTGTCAAATGCATAAAAAAAAAAAAATGGAGATATCAGACCTTCTTCTTCTTCAAAAATTCTGTATTATATTCATGGTAGGTATGGAACAATTAATGGGAAAGACACAAAAGTTTTTTCAAAGCAGTTCTCTTAAACAGTTGTAAAACCAACATCCATGTACAGATGTAAAAACTCTACAACTGTAAACAATGTTGTTTCACATTTTACTTCTACTCCAGAGCAGGATCACATAAGAATATAAAAGGACTCACATGCTAACCGAAAAAGAAACTCCTTTCATTAGGCAGCTTATATTGTACATACCTGGACACGAGCCTCTGTGAGTTTGGCTCTTTGTGCAAGTTCTTCCCTGGTGTAAATGTCAGGGTAGTGTGTCCTCTCAAAAGCTCTTTCCAGCTCTTCCAGTTGTTCTGCTGTGAAGGTTGTCCTGCTGCGACGCTGCTTTCTTTTTAAAGGTAAATCTGGTTCAGAATCAATGTCAGAGCCTTCATCAGACTGAGGTGCTGATGCTCAAAAAAAGAAAAAAGAAAAATAAATAAATAAAAAGGCAAAAATTAGCTATTAGCTTTAGTTAAGGAGAAAGAATGGCAAAATATTGAATCAATCAATTACATCCTTTCATATGGAGGCTGTCGTGGACCAAAGGCCCCTCACAAACCCTGAGTCAGAACTTGAGAAAAATCAGCAAGAAACAAACCACGTACAGCGTGACCATGACCCAGGAAGGGGCTACCAACTCTTACAATCAGCAGTTTATAGAGAATTCAATATGGAAACTCCTTCTGGACGTCACAAACATGGAGATAAGTGAGGTCACAGGCAAGGCCAGCCAGGTCCTGGCAGCATTGCATGTTTCCCCTGGCCATCAAGTGAACTCCAGCTACAGCTGAACCCAGGGCTCTAACTGTGAAGGCAGCAGAACCTCTTCCACTACCCAACCACACTCACTTTCTCCATCAAACCATAATGAACCAAAAACATAGATTTTCAAAGCCAGTCTTCACTTGCATCAGCTGCTGTCCAGGCAACCAGCATTCCTTCTTGCCTGAGTCTTCAAGGGAAACCACCTAAAGAGGGCAGACACTCCCCAGCGATGCTGAAACTGCTTGTTCAGTGGAAATACAAGCATTGCTGCTACTACTTCAACAATGCCAAAGAAATTATTGATATAGACATTGATTTAATATAACCCTTTTATTGCACTTTATTTGGAAGCAAACAGTTTCTCAAGCTCCAGCTAAAACCCCCCACTAGGTTAATTTCTAGCTATGTTACATTTCCAATTTCACTCAAGCTGTTTCAGCTAATAAATACACCTAATCTATTTACTTAGAGCATGAGAAATACAAAGTGCTTTTTCAGACAATTCAGCTGAAAAGTTTATTAATTTCTGCACACACAAAAAAAAAAAAGAACAATTACTGCTAGACCAGTGACTCTTTTGTGAAAGGTGTCTTCATTTTCCAGACAGCATCAGTATCTCGGACCCAGCATACACAGACAGAAGGAGAAACTCCTGTGCATCTCTGTGTCAATATACTGAACAAACATCAACTCCCAGAGTCTCTTACTTGCAGAGAAGGTTTGTCCCAAGAAAGACTGGACTAAGAGTCCATTCTCATTCTTGAGAATATTGTTCTCTAGAACAAAGGAGAATCACCACAAGCATCCTATCCTAAGCAGTTCAAGTTCAGTCCTTATTAAACAATCTAGAGTATCCCAAAATTAACATAATACATTATCTGAATTAGTGACAAATCTCAAATCTTCTCATCCAGGATCCCAAGTGATACCTGTCTTCCCCAGCAACTGCCAAGTTACAACCCTCCAGGATGGCTCCATGCTGTCATTCAAGAGCAAAAAGAAATATAGGATATTTTATATATGGCTCCCCAATGTCACTCTTGGATACAAATCACCCACCTTAAGCAGAACAGCTCTTATTGGCCAAGTAGGCTGGAGGACAGCACATCAGCCACACTGCCAGGGTCATACTGGCTACCACTGCACTCTGCCTTACCTGTGTGGTGAGGTCTGAAATACAGTTCAGAAATGGCCCTTTTGGAGACAACTTCTATGACAAAAGCTGCCTTTAATCGTGTACAATGAGTTTAAAAGAAAAGGAAGTCAAACCCCAAGATGTCAGGAACTCTTTCTATGTCCTTTTAGGATCCACATGTGTAGAACTTCTTCAAACATCTATGTATATGCCTATAAAAAGCCAGCTTAAACTGGGATAAAGGGGATATTTATTGATAAATTTCTGAAGTGAACTCCCTCACCAACTGAGTGGGAAGTATCAGGAGAAATATCCTTATCTTTTTTTAAAATGTTTTATAAAGACAGCAAAATCTTGAGCTTCCCTATGTTCTCATTCCTTTCTGCAAAAGAATGTAGAACTGAAACCCTGACTTCATTTCATTTTCACTTTATATTTCATTAAGCAGTACATGAAAGGCACAAAGGTAAACCAATTTAAAAAACCCCAAACTCTATAGTATCTAAGTGTCTGGAACAATATGTGTAATCAAGGGCAAGAATTTAAAGAGAAAGTAATAAAATTAAAGTAGGGAGAAAATTAATATCACATGAAATGACTTTCATATCTATCTGCTTTCATTGGCATTACTTTTTGCCAGCCCTGACTGCTATGTGCAGCTTTATTGAAAACATTGGCTTCTTTTGTCTTATTTGCCCCGTGATATTAAAGTCAGACAAATGTAATCTCAAGGGATAACTACATGTCTGTACTACAAAGTGTACTGTTTTTATTTTTACAAAGTATTTGTAAATATTATCATCAAGGAAGATTTTATTCTTATTTTTTTTCCTATTAAAATACCATTATTAGATTCTTCTATAGATGAGAAGGCAGACAGAGTACTGCTAAGCACAAAAATTGGATACAGCTCATCCTTTAGACAAGCAATATGTATTTTATATATGTTCAATAGTCACAGTGAGTTGCCCTCTCTCTAAGCAGTATCTCAGTAACATGTCTACTGACTTCCATGATACACAAAGATATTATTCAGTACCGGCGAAGCTGGTGAGATTTTAGCTGGGTTATTTCTACATCCATCACCTCCACAGACACAAAACATGCATATCACTAACCTTTACATGTTTCCTAATGATCCTAATTTTCCAGCCCCTCAAGTTATAAATAGAAGGAGACTCACTGCCGTGGGAGATTCCCTGACTGGCTTCCTTGGGATCACTGGAAACCCTCTTATTATACAGCTCAAAATGGGAAAGGCAGCCAACAGCGCTACCAGTTGTTGAGTCACAAAGAGTAATTAAAAAATAAATTGCAGAATTAAAGAGAAATTATTTGTCCCTTAACTGCTCATGACCTATGTGGTGGCCTAAGGAAATTCTGCATGCAGATTACCACCACAAATGCAAAACCCCAGTGCCCAATGTCACAGCATTTGGTCACCTGGAGTTCTGCAACCATCCCTTTTCCAAACACTGTAAATAGACACATTGGGGCAAAAACCAAACAACAAAATGACACACAAGAGGTCATTCCATGGGCTGTTCTTCCTCTCAGCAAGACATTTCATTTAAATAATTAAATAACAATAACATGACAACCATTTAAAGCCCATGCATAAGGGCTGCAACACAGTGCACCTGACAGAGGCAGGCAGAGGGGTTATCATGGAGAGGTTATCATCTGTGACCCAGGAAAGCAGAACTACTCTCACAGCTCTTCACACACCGCAACATTTTTAATAACATTTAATTTAATTTAATAACATATTACACTGTCTCTTCCTCCTAGCGTGGCGGTCAGAATGAATTCTGTCTAGCCATAGATCTCACTATAATAAGGCAAATGAAAAAAAATTACAAATAGCAAAGGCAAGGGAGGGTTCTGGTAGTGGTTTATTAGCTAGCTACCCTCCACACATCCATCTTCTCAGTTCTTTATTTAAGCAAGATTAATTTCACAGGGTGTCCCCCTTGCACGACTGCAGCTCTGGAGCTCTCTGGGTGTTCATTCTCTCAGCCCTGGGGCTCTCTGGGTGTTCATTCTGCCTGCCCTGGGGCTCTTTGGAATGTTCATTCTGTCAGCCCTGGGGCTCTTTGGGGTGTTCATTCTGTCAGCCCTGGGCCTCTTTGGGGTGTTCATTCTCCCTGCCCCGGCGCTCTCTGGGTGTTCATTCTCCCTGCCCTGGGGCTCATTGGGGTGTTCATTCTGCTGGCTCTGGAGCTCTCCGAGTGTTCATTCTGTCAGCCCTGGGGCTCCCTGCGTGTTCATTCTGCCGGCCCTGGGGCTCTCTGGGTGTTCATTCTGTCAGCCCTGGGGCTCTCTGGGTGTTCATTCTGTCAGCCCTGGGGCTCACCGGGCAGCAGTCTGGCTGCCTGGGGCTCCCGGGTGTTCCCCTCAGCCATCCAGGCCGAGGCGAGGGGAGTCACCTCCTCGTGTTTGCTCGGGTGCAGGCAAGGGGAGTGCAGCAGGGCCGCCACCCCCACACAAACCCACAGCAAATGACAAATGACACTTTCTCTTTGTGATCTTTGGGATTTTTGTTGACTTATTTGGAGGCTTTTGTTGGGTCCTAAGAAATGGCCTGTGGCTGAGGCCTATTGGGCCGATTTCCACGCTCCATCTGTGGTATCCATCAGCGGGGCCTTTGCCCGCATTCAGGGCTCTGACACCTGCCTGGCAGGATGCGGGAGGCACAAAAGCGGCTGCCGTGGAGGCGGGGGCGGCGGGCCGGGGGGCTGGGGAGGGCAGCCGGGTGAAGGGGATGCACAGCAGGGGTTAATCCAGCTCCCCCTCCCCAAACCTCCGCACCTGGAGGCGTCCCTCCAACGCTGCCTCTCCCCACCAGAGGTGAGGGGCTCCAGCGCGGCCCTCCACCACTCTGAGGGGGAATGACGGAGAGCAGCAGAAGTGCCCCAGGCTGAGGGTGTCAGAGGATCCGAGGCGCTCCCCAAACACACCTCTGGTGTCCCCAAACACACCTCTGGTGTCCCCAAACACACCTCTGGTGCTGGCTCCCTGTGACAGCCCGGAGCAGCAGTAGGTGGCCAGCAGGGCATTCCTGCCTGGATCCTTGTTTGTGTTGGGGTAGGCTTTCAGCAGCTGGCTTTCTAACAGTCGACAAGATAGAAATGCATCGAGCATCCTTTTCTTCTTCAAAGTACAGTCCACAGGAAGCTAAACCAGCATCCTTATTTCATGCTAACAGCCCCCCTCTCAGCAGTCCTGTTTAGGGGCAGGCTCTTGTATCCATACAAAATATAATGAAGACTCTAGAGCACCTCTCTCCCTCCCAGCACATCAGCCCTTCATTTTTCTGTGTTTGCCTGGGGAAACATGACGCCAGGCTCCCCCCTCTCCTCCTCCTCCTCCTCCCAAAACCTCACTGTCACAGCGAGGAGCCATTAAAAAGAAAATACGCCCTGCCAGGTCTGTGCTAATCAAACCAGGACAAATAAACTCTGACACTCAACAACTCCCCGAGTGCCTGCAGCCCGGGGAGGAGACTACAGATTAGTTATGAATATGGCAGGCAGCAGGGGACAGGCTCAGGGGTCCCGAGTCACCCCACAGCCACCTGTGAGCTCTTCAGATGCTGCAACTGAATGCCGTGTTTATCAAAGATAAAGCATGCTGCAAGGAACAGAAGAGCACCCCTCAAGTTTAGATTCTCCCACCAAAGCGCTTTTGGGCAAGGTTACTGATACTCCGTCGCAATTTTACCCAACTCAACATTCATTTTCTGCGCTTCAACATCTGTGAGGTTAAGAGGACAGAAGGGAGATTTGGACACCCCAAGTCTCACCTTATGAAGTCACAGCCCAAAACTTGTTATCAACTGGACTCTTTTTTTTTTTTTTTGAGAGGAAAAGCAAAATCAAATTTCAGGAAACAAAGAATGAAACAAGCAGCCACAAAAGTTTTCTCAGATGGGTTATGATAAAACATGCTAGTGCTTCTACATGCTTCCTATTTTCCTATTAAAAATTTAGGAATCAGCAAATATATAAAGAAATTCTCAACCTTGCTAGAAAGCAGCAGAGTACCTGGTACAATGTGAAATACCCACAAGTAGTAGAACTGCTTTTAACCAGTTCTACTGGCATTTTGACTATGATATATCAAAGAAGGAGAAACTAAACCAAAAAGAAAGCCTCTGTTCCAGACAGGAATATTGTTCATCTAACAAGGATTAAGTCACACTTCAATTACTCCTTTGAAAACTGCTGCTATTTGTAAAGGGCATACTTAGAAAAAAAATTGTGAATTACTTTTTTTAGGTTCACAGGCACATTAAAAAATCTGCAGTGGGAGAATGAGAGAAATGTTGAGAAAATATGTTGCTACTTAAGTAAACTCATTAATAAGAGCAATTAATCCGTTGCTGGAATTGGAAAAGAGCAAACCCATATCCTGTGAGCTCTAAGCTGGAAAGTCAGCACAGAAAGGAAGCAATCATCACAGCAGTGATAAAAGTGATCTTCTTGAGAGAAATGGATGGTATTTTTGTTTTGTTTGGGCTGATTCACATAGAGAAATGTGCTTTGTACGGCAAAGTGAAAAGGAAAACAGTAGCTGCAGTAAAAGGAAATGGCCAACAGTGACTTTTATTTACAATTACCAAGAGACAGGCTATTATTGACCATATGTGCCACAATCGCCCTCCTTATCATGGGTTGGCCATCATGTCCACTGGGAGCTGTTAATGAACTGGGTAATTGAGCTGCTGACATGTGTTACCAAAACAAAACAATAGGAAGAAGAGACAAATGAACATTTTATTTGCCAATCAGAGTAGGTTCCGCTTTTCAGAGAACTGTGCCTAAGTAAGTGGCTGAATACATAAAACAGTGCATTGAAGGCAAGCAGATGCATGCACAATAATGGTTAACTGACAGCCTATGGCCCATCTGTGCTTAACATTTTGTTAAAGAAATTACTTGACTTGCTAAAGAGACAAATCATACAGCTGCCCCAAGTGCTGCATTATAAGAGATAAATCATTAGCTAAACTGTTTCATGCTTAAAATGACAATGCATATTAACAGTTATGCAGGGACATTTTGTCAGCACAGCTTGATGCAGTTATAAGTGACAAAAAATGTGACAGCTCATAGCTATTCAATGATTTCAACTTAGAAGAGAATGACAACACTGTGAAAACAATTTCACCGCATAAACAATAGACAATTCACAGGCTCTTCTTTTAAAAAAATATATCTAATTTTTTTTGCAATGATGAAATAATATGGAAAGGAAAAAAAATGCTCAGTGTCTAACTGTTCTGCACCATTAATCTGCTAGCATGTACTTCATTCAAAACCACAGAGCATCACATTCCATTTTAAATATCAAAGACTGCATCGCCAGCACTAAGAATAAATGGCTAATTCTCAGCTGTGCATGAAAGGATAAAGAATTTCTAGAGTGAAAGGAAGGGAAAAGGAAACTGCAAATACAACTACAAAAATCTCTTCTTATTCCCCCACCTCCTTTGCCAAAAAGAGATTTGCTTTGTTGATACAAGTAACGCTCAAGTACTTAACAGCTTTGCATGTGGGTCTGATCCCAACTTTCGCTGCTGTAAATTTGCACTAGGGGATTACTATTATTATTACTATTACTGACATAATTATAATTATTATTATTATTATTAATAATAATAATAATTATTATTATTATTATTTTACATTGAAACTAAATATAAAGGAACTGAAGTTAGCACTTGAATTCTATGCTCCAGGGAGTACACACACATGTGTGTGTATTGTAAAAATAAAGTTTAAAAAAAATAAAAATGAAGCCAAATAAATAATGTGATCTGGTAAAAGCCGTGTAGCCTGTGGGAGGTTTCCCTGTGGTTTCAGAAGTTGGTATTCACATAAGGGTTAGCTCACGTTTAATGGCTAAATAAAATTTAAGTTGCTACAGTTTTCCCCACGAAGCCAAGACTTCCTCGCTGACCGTGTTTCCATTCACTGGCTTCGAAAGGCTGCTCTGTTGATTCTGCTGGTACACGAGCAAAGCTGGATCCAGGCAAGCTGTGACCCTTGCTCAGTCTCCCTCCTTCCGCAGCAAACGGGAGCGAGCGGAGCCGGCGCTGCGGTGCGGAGAGCACACCGGGCTGGCCCCGAACACAGCCCGGACCCCCGAGCACAGCCCGGACCCCGAGCACAGCCCTGTCCCAGGAGCACAGCCCGGCCCCAGGGGCACAGCTCTGCCCCAGGAGCACAGCCCAGACCCCCGAGCACAGCCCAGACCCCCGAGCACAGCCCGGCCCCAGGAGCACAGCCCTGTCCCAGGAGCACAGCCCGGCCCCAGGAGCACAGCCCGGCCCCAGGAGCACAGCCCGGCCCCCAGGAGCACAGCCCTGTCCCAGGAGCACAGCCCGGCCCCAGGAGCACAGCCCGGCCCCAGGAGCACAGCCCTGTCCCAGGAGCACAGCCCGGCCCCAGGAGCACAGCCCGGCCCCAGGAGCACAGCTCTGCCCCAGGAGCAGCTCCGCTAAAGCGGCGAGGCAAAAGCAAAGCTCGCTGTTTTTCTCCAAGAGCTCCGAGTGCCCGCGTCTGGGGATTTTTCTAGCCCTTCCCTAAGGGAGCATCCCTGGTAACGCTGAGAGCACGAGTACTGTATTTAAGCATTGCAACATCTTGTCCTTTCACTTTCAAATACTAGGACTTTTCAAGGAAAAACTTGCAGAGGATTAAAGAATTTTGTCTCCTAAATTTAAAAATAAAAAAAGGGGAAGGAAACTAAATACGCAAATCCAAATGTGGTTTTCTCCCAAGAAACTTAAGGAATTTGATATTTTAGGTGATATTTTAATATAAGACAGGGAGACCTAGGAGGAAAGTGAGATCCCTCTTGCAGAAATGCCAGATCTTAAGAAAAGATTGGTGTCGTGTCTTCAAGCCGGTATCAGGTGATGGAAGAGCTGATTGATAACCAATTAAGACTGAAAACATTGAGTATCCTGGGAGATGGAATTTGTCAGCTGAGAAATTAAATAAAGCAAATGAAGGAGTCTCTGGATAAATAACGAGACTGTATTAGTGAGTTAAAACGCTGCAAATAATTGAGCTGTCAGCAATCTGTCAATTGTGTATGGCAATGTGGATTTTTCAGAACAAAAAAAAATCTATAAATTGTATTTGCTTCAATCCTTTGCAATAACACCATGCTGACAGAACTCCTAAAGTTATATGAGCTGATCAAAGTACTGGGCACACCAAGATGGAAAAGGCTTACAACCATTTTTCAGCAACATATGTGTATTTCTTTACTGATTCCACTTGTAGAATTGTTAAAACATTTTTGAAGAAAACAGAAACTGTACAGATGGCTAAAGTAAAAACAAACAAACAAAAAAAAATTAGAATGTTTTAATAAACTTCCTATTTGTCTCAATTAGTTCTATCACCTAAATTAATAACATCCTTGATTCCAAACAAACACTAGCAGAGCAAGCTGTTGTAGATAGCTTCATCTCCATGACATGATTATAGTCCTCAGAGTCTCAGTGGGAAATCAAGTTTATCATCTCTTCTTAAACCCACAGCTGTAGCCAGACCACCCTTCAGGCCACTTTTACCCACTGCAGAGGTACACTGGCTTATATGACCATCTCAATTTATAACTTTTAGGACTTGCAATGGCCAAAATATTTCTAGACCTTTTTTTTCCTTAAAAAAAATATTGGACTTTGTCGTTGAATACAACTCCATTTCCTCTAGAAATCACTTAACTTTGCAGAGGACTTTTGTGAAAGAGAACTAAAAGTACTGACTTTTTTCCTCCACTTTTCAGATTTGAGTCAATAAAAATAGCTTATCTTTTGCATCAAATGTTTTTCCTGTGATTGATTTTTGAAGACACTACCTATTCCTGCCAACTACTTCTTTTCCAGCCAAAGCTGTTAGTAACTCTAGGTCACTTCCATCACAAGCACATAAGAATTGGGGTGCTGACCTCAAAATCCATCATCTTCTGTCATGAAACCTGGTCCTACTGGGCATTGAGCCCTCCAGTCCCGCTGGTCAAAGACAGCCCCTGCCTTTATGGTTGTTCCAGTGTTTGGGATAAAAGGACCCTACAACAGGATAGCAGCAGGGTGCTCAGTACCTCTTTGTGTTACTTCCTGTGGGGTTTCTCATTCCAGCCCCTACCTTAGGTGCCAGCATGAGGGGGAGGGGGTGTGCAGGACTCTGTGCCCAAGACTCCCTGAAGCACACAATGATGTTCCATTCATTGCAGCGCCTGTGATGATGTTACAGTAATTACCTTGAGTCCATCCAAGAACTGGTCACCTGCAGATGCTCCTTGTTCCTCACCCTGTGAGGTTTGCATGCCCATGAGGCTCCTGGCATCATCCTTTAATTACACTTCCCGGGGACTGTCTCCTACCAACCTCACAAAAGCTGTTGGAGCTCACAGATGTCACCTGACCAGAGCACTGCCATAACACAGACATAAAACAAACATGAGAAAATACAGCACACACACAGTGCTCTGAGGACATGGACCTTGCTATTAATTAGCAAGGTATACAGCTTACTACCTATTCCAAAGAAACAGGGGGAGATTCATTTCCAAAGAAACCTCACAATTTTTCAGTCCAATAAAAAAAATCAGGACCAAGCCCCTCACCAGCTGACCTCAGAGCTGTCAGTGAAAGGGGTGATGGGCTGTGCTGGGCTGCAGCCAGCCCCGCAGCACCTTTATAGCATGGAAAATGTGCCAGCTGGGAGTCACTCTGGATCCAGTCTCTACACCACAGACATGTGTAATTCCCATACATTTGCTCTCATTTACTACTTGTTGACAGACGTTGATAAATGTTCTTGAAAACTTACAGGAATGATGGTTGCTGGTGAATGCCTAATGGTAGAGATGTCAAAAATTATTTGACTAAATATACACATACTTAATATCACCAAGCTTTGAAACCTCTACATATATTAACCAATTTATAACTGTCTCTCTGAATTATTAGCAGTCCCAGAAACTGAAAAGTAACTCTGCACCAAATTTAGTTCAATAAACACAGTGGCTTCTCTTAACTATTCACCATACCCATAGAACAGAAGTGGCAGGATGCTTTTTGATGAGTCCTGTAGGCTTTGCTTGGACACTTAACATTATAGAATGTATTTCTGCTCTTTTCCTTTTTTTCCCCTCCCACAGTGTCCCTACAACATAAGCATCTAAAATTTCAATGACTTAAAGTGACGTGATTGTCTAAACAGAGAGTATTTAAGTGATATATAAGGTACAACTCATTTGCTCCTTGCTATTCCCAAAGAAAGAGACTCTGAAGACTCTAGTTCTACATTCCCAGTATTAAATGCAAGTCACATTGTGCCAGTGGTCTTTGGATCCAGCCTCTAGACTCAGATGTGGCCCTCACCCACCCTCAGGCATCAGGAATGTCCACACTCAGAAGACACAAGGTTTTTTAAAGAAACTTTAGTTTCTTTTACCCAAATGGGGAACCCAATGAAAGTTCCTGTGGGTTTTTTTGGACCATGAAGAGAAGCACACTTTTAGATGATCTCTCACACACTGAAAATCAATGGTTTCATTAAAACTGTTAGTTTTACCCTCCAGAAATAGGGCAAATTCTCAAAAATAACAGCAAAAGTGGCCCCAAATCAGATTTGCAGTGTTTAAAATTAGGGAGAGAAATTGCCAAAATACAAACAGATGAATCTAGAAAAGTTAAAATGCCTAGTTTCTTAGCTACAGTCTTTCATCTCAGTAAAATCAGCTATCTCAAATTGTTAGGCTGTAGGGTTAATTGATAGCATCTATTTAAAGGTTCTCTCTGTTTCCCCAGAGGTCCTCAACATTTCAGCAGGAAGCAGGAGATCTGGAAGAAGCTTTATGTCAGCTATAAAAATCTTGGCTCCTGCTTCATCTTTCCTTACAGTGCTCTGGCACCACTCAGAGCTCTTTTTTTCTTCCACTGTACTCTACTAAGAGGACCACAGCCTGCAAAGGCTCATACATGCACTGCTGGGTACCCAAGGAACATCACAAGTGAGAGTCCTAATAGCTCCATCACAAAACATGCACCAAGAGAGCTTTCTTAGGTGGGAATAAAAGTAGTTCTTGTTTCTAATTTCTCCTGAACACATCATATTATAGCACATTCAAAACCAAGAGGGCTTCTCAAAAGCAGACTCTCCAGAGTGCTTGGCATTTTCCTGCCACCATATGAAAACATAACAGGTCTTAAAATGGAAGCTTGAGTATCTGATCTTGTAAATCCAGCCTGAAAGAGAAATACATCTGTGATGAGTACTGGAAGAATAGCAACCACTAACACACAGCCTGCCTTCACTGCCTATGCAAACAAGTAGCACATATTTTGCTGAGCTTTTCTAGGAAGCTTAGAAAAGTCAAGCATTTAAAACCAACTGAACTTCAGCAAAAATCATGTTCTTTCTTTTTTTATCTGACAGCAAATTTTTAAAATGCTAATTTTTTTCTTCAATTCATACCCTACGGAATGTGAGTTGTGATTCTCTGCCTGCTTTAGGTCAAACCCTGCTGAAAGCCACATCAAAGTGGTTAATCCAGATTAGGAAGTCAAAACCTGGCCTGCAACCCAGCCGGACAGAGCCCCTGACAGATGCCCCAGATGCATCCAGGGGGAGCCTACCAGAGTGAACTCTGCACAACAGCAGAGAGACAGAAAAGAATAAAATCTGCCTGCTGCCAGCCAGCCTCCTGTGTCTGCAAAGGGAAACTGAGATCAACAGAGAAACCAGCTCTTGGCAGCTTTTCTAAGTGGCTTCCTTTTTATTGTTCAACAAGCAGGACAGGGAGATCCAGGGTCCCAGGTTTAATCCTGCTCAAGGGGATCACAAACCACAGAAACAGAGGCAAGAGGTCTACCTTGTGAGGGTAGTGACCTTTTGCCTTCTTCTAACTGTTGGCCAAGTAATCAGTGTTCCTCTGTGCCTGGTGGCACATAAATGTTGTGCCTTTGGGCTCACAGCAGAAGCCTAGAACATTTGTTGCCTCAATAGATGTCAAATGAGACAGGAATTCTAGAGGGGCTTTGCTACTGTGACAGCTTGTCAACATCTGCTGCAGTTTGGGTACCAGCAAGCTGAAACCATGCCCATCACAGAGCTCTGTAGTCTCCATCTTTACTTAAAAGTCTAAACAAATCTGTGCACCTTCATGTGCTTAAATCATTAGGTCCTTTTCACAGAGATATCCCAAGATCTGTGTTGGTACAGCTCCCAGCACAGTGGCAGTCCATGAGCAGGGCTCCTGTTTACCATAGAAATACAAATAACAACAAGTGGCTGAGTGACAGATGGCCTGGAAACATTTCTGATGTTTTCAGTGACAATTACCTATTCAGACACTCCAGTCAGACTTTCCAAATCAGAGTCTAAGGGCAGTTGCCAAACAATATTTTACAAACAAACTTTGACCCAGGCTGTGTTCTAATGAACACTCACTTAGTTCTAACATACATGATCACATATAAATGGATTAATTAATATGTGCAGTGGATAACTTCACAGTGAATGCTCAAACTGGGATCTTCAAAGAGAAGTCTGCACCTGTTATTAAAATTAAATAACAGTTATACTGCTCTGCTCAGGTACTAGATTTATATTGCCAAAATCCTTGCACTTTTTGAAAGTCTCCTTCAACTCGAAAATTGTTTTGCAAAATTCAAATATCCAGAGTTGGTTTTTTTTCCAATCCAACTGCTGAGGAAAAGAGTTTGCAAAAAGTGTTTCAATCAAAACAAAATCTCATCCAAGCTTCCATGCTTTGTTTTGCATTTTTAATCCCATATCACTTGGAATTATTCCTGTACTGTTCTATATAAGACACAAAACCACTAGAAGTGCCACTAAGATTTTTTGGAGCAGGATCTAACCCAAGAAACTTAATTACAACCAGGGTCTGTGTAAGGAAGGGTCTAGACCTTCTTCTGTCCAACTTGCAGCAAGTGGGACATCATTGCCTGACTTTGAACAGTAACACATTTAACTAGAAAGACAAAAATCAAGAACCTTTGCCTCCAGGAATGTTATTGCATTGGAGTCTTCAATTTTCATTATAATCTGGGACCATCAAGGTTCAGTAGGAGGTTTGTGATCTTTCTAAGCAAACCTGGACTTCGTTTTGAATAAAAAATGGGCCTATTTATGGTTTTGCATCAAAGTCATGTGAAATGTCTGGTTTTGCATGGATTCAATTAGACACAAGCCTAAGGCACAAAAAGTTCAGATCCTGATCAGGATCCAGACCCGCCCAAAGCTGAGGGACATTTAGACTGAGTGACTTGGTTCTTGTCCATCTCTGATTCCAGCATGAAAACCAGGTGGGACTCACTTTCAGCAAACCCCTGGTCCTCCCCACATTTTTGCAGCTTTTCCAGCTTGGCATGTCAGCAGCAAGCAGAGGGTTCCTATGACTTGTGATGGGATCTGAAACCCATAAGACGCTGAGTCCCTGCAAACCAAAACCATGGCATCTTCCCAGCTCTCACAATTAAGCTTTAAGCCATAAGAAAAAAAGAAAAGCCAAATTAACAGCCGTATTGACAGTTTTATAGGCCCCTGAGGGCTCTGCCTACATCCAAAGACAGTGGGGCTTTTCTAAATTAAAGTGAATTAGCAATCAAGTTCCTAAGAAGGATTCATTTAATAAATTAAAGGGCAGAATTCAAAACAATTTCAAAAGTAATCCCTTGGATGAAAATCATTCTCTGTACAGTGGAAAAATGGAACACTGTCATTCTGATGCTTGTCTTAATTGACATTCAGTTGTTTTCCTCTTTTAAAAGTAATTGTTTATTATTTTAGTGGTCACCATCTTGTAGTAAACTAATGCTGTCATAAGCTTTGCTAGGAACATGATAAACTCCTAATTTTGTCTGATAAACTCATGTTATTTGGTTAATTTTTGCAGCCAGAATTAGGGAGAAAGAATTAGAAGCAAATTTGATCCTGCTGAGCCTCTGAGGGAGCCAAGATTCCCACAGTCCTCCTTAGCCTCAGAGTTCACGAAGACACTGAACAAACTTTTGGCTTTCTGAATTCTGCACCGCACGTACAACATGGTTTCAGGAATCTGTTCCCATGATGCAGCTCACATTTTTTAGCAGAACTCTGTCAGGACCAGGCTCTAGCATGAAGTATTTTACAGAGGTTTCAACTCTCAGTTTAACAATACAGATATTCTCACAAAGCTGAAGTCAACCCCACGAATCTCCTGAGAGCTTATATCAAACTCAATGCAGCTACCATTAAAAGTGACGACTTACAGACTCCCAAAATGCCGTTCCCTTTAATACGATTTCCTATGGTAACACACAAGTCACTGGAAGGCCTTTGCACCTATTTAGGAAAGGCAGACTTTCAAATTAACTTCGGTGGAGCCATGACAGATTATAGCAGCAAAGGTTCAGCTGCTCTG